GTGCCCATGTAGACAAGTATGGACTCCCATTGTGGTTGGGCCACAATTGCTAAGGACATAAGTGAGACTGGTCGCTGGCCTGGCTGGATGTGCCCAACTGCTGCGGGCACTCTGGTGGGCAGGGAAGGCCTTCGGTGTGGCTGGCTGCAAGGCCCAGCCTTGACTGTTGCAGACACACTGCTATGTACTGGTGCTGGTTAAGACCACCCACCAGGTATGGCAGGGCAGGAGCAGCTTTGGAGGGTTGCCAGCCTGGTTGGGTCCTCAGGAAAATGCCAGGGTGGGGTGAATAGTGTTAGCATGGTTAAGGGACATTGTCAGAAATGGTGCCTGCCAGTGTCAGACCAGCTAGGTAAGAGAGTGAAAAAAGGGGGTAAATGGTACCGACCAGCACTTCTGTCCCTAAAGAAAGTTCCAACAAATACATGTTTCTCTAACACTTGCCCTAAAATTTGTGAAGGTGTCACCTTCACATATGACCCAGGTGATTTTCAAACTACTGCCTCTGCTCTGGGATTCGGAAAGAGTGCAATCTTGGTTTCCTACAGGGCCCTTTGGCTCTCCCAGATGTAAATCCCATTGGTTTTCAAAGTCAGATGTTATGAGTGCTCCTCTTCCTGGTGTAGGTCCCCCAAGCTGGGACTCAGAGCACTTGCTCTTTAGGGGGGGGACCTCTGCAGTTGTGATATCCCTCCCACTTGTTGGTCACTGTATGGAGAATGGGGGATAGAGTAGGTCCTGACTAGATTGAGTCTTTGCCCCTCCTGCCCATGTCAATGTGGCTTTTTCTTTCCTCCTCCTCCTCCTCCTCCTTCTTCTTTTTTGGTATGGGCTATACTTCTAATTTTCTTCAATTACACTTTGCTTTCAATATTATTTTGTATTGGCTTCAGGTGTACAGCATGGTGGTTAGACAATCATATACTTTACAAAGTGTTTCTCCCCCAATATTTCCAATGCCCACCTGGTACCACAATTGTGATAACCATAGTTATTGCAATATTATTGACTGTATTTTCCATGCTGTACTTTACATTCCTGTGACTATTTTGTAACTACCAATCTATACTTCTTAATCCCTTCACCTCTTTCACCCAGTCCGCCAAACCCCCCTAACCTCTGGCAATCACCCATCTGCTTTCTGTGTCTATGAGTCTGTTTTAGTTTTGTTCGTACATTTATTTTGCTCTTTAGATTCCAGATATAAGTGAAATCATTGGCATTTGTCTTTTTCTGTTTGACTTATTTAACTTAGCATAATACTTTCCAGGTCCATCCATGTTGTGGCAAATGGTAAGATCTTCATTCTTTTTTATGGCCCAATCATATTACATTATATATGAATATATATGTATATGTATATGTATATATATCACAGCATTTTTTATCCACTGGTATATTGATGGATACTTGGGTTGCTTCCATATCTTGGCTATTGTAAGTAATGCTGCAATGAACATAGGGATGCATATATTCTTTTGAATTAGTGTTTTGGGTTTATTCAGATATATACCCAAAAGTGCAATCACTGGGTTTTTTAGCAGTTTGACTTTTAATTTTTTAAGGAACCTCCACACTGTTTTCCATAGTAGCTACACCAATCTGCATTCCCACAAATAGTGCATGAGGGTTCCTTTTTCTCCACATCCTCTCCAACACTTACCATTTCTGGATTTATTGATAATAGCCATTCTGACAGATGTAAGGTAATATCTCATTGTGGTTTTAATGTGGCTTTTAAAAAGATATTTATTATTATTTTTTTCCATCAACATTTATCCCTCTTATACCCCCCCACCTCTACCCACACACCTCCCCTCCCACAAGCAATCACCACACTATTGTCCACGTCCATGAGTACTTTCTCTCTTTTTTCTCTTTTGCTCAATCACTTCATCCCCAGCCTCCCTGCCGAGCTGTCAGCCTACTCTCTATATATGAGTCTGTTTCTATTTTTCTTTTTTCCTTTTTAAAAAAATATCTTTATTGATTTCAGAGAGAAAAAGGGAGAGAGAGAGAGAGACAGACAGACAGACAGACAGACAGAAACATCAATGATGAGAGTCATTGACCACCTGCCTCCTGCATGCCCCAACTGGGGATCTAGCCCGCAACCCAGGCATGTGCCCTGACTGGGAACCGAACCACGATCTCCTGGATCCTAGTCGATGCTCAATGGCTGAGCCACACGTGGCCAGCCTGTCTCTATTTTTCTTATCAGTTCAGTTTGTTCATTAGATTCAACATATGAGTGAAATCATATGGTACTTGTGTTTCTCTGACTGGCTTATTTCACTCAGCATAATTTTCTCCAGGTCCATACATACTGTCATAAAAGGTAAAAATTTCTTCTTTTTTACTGCTAAATAGTATGTAGAAAATCTGTTCAGTTAGTCTTCAGGTCATTCTTAGAGATACCTGTTATATATGTAGTTGTAGTTTTGGTGTTAATGACAGGAAGTGAGCTCAGGATCTTCCTACTCCACCATCTTGAACCCAAAGCCAGGAGCCTTGCTTTTGAATGCCAATTTAGCTTGTTAGTGAAATGTCTTTTCTTGTGGTTAGTGCAGTGAATATGCAACAAACTTGTCTCTGGATCACTGAGTCACTGTCCCCATTCCTCTTATTACAGTCTTTATTTTAAAGTCTATTATGTCTCATATAAATATAGTCACTCCAGCTTTCTTTTCGTTTTCATTTGCATGAAATATCTTTTTCATCCTTTCACTTTAAGTCTCTGTGTGTCCTTATTCTGAAGTTAGTCTCTTGTAGGCAGCTTATGGATGGGTCTTGGTGGGGTTTTGTTTTGTTTTTTAAATATATCTTTATTGATTTCAGAGAGAGGAAGGAAGAGGGAGAAAGATAGAAACATCAGTGATGAGAGTCATTGATCAGCTGCCTCCTGCACGCCCCCTACTGGGGATCCAGCTCACAGCCCAAGCATGTACCCTGACCAGGATCATAGGTCGATGCTCAACTGCTGAGCCAAGCCAGCTGGACCTTTCTGTTTTTGTTTTTCAAATCTATTCAGCCACTCTATACCTTTTGATTGAAGGATTTAGTCCATTTACATCTAAAGTAATTATTGATAGGTATGTATTTATTGCCTTTTAAAAAAATTCTCACCTGAAGATATATTTGTTTGTTTTTTATTGATGAGAGAGAGAAGAGAGAGAGAGAGAGAGAGAGAGAGAGAGAGATCGATCAGTTGTCCCCTGTGTATGTCCTGACCTGGGATCAAACCCACAACCTGGGTATGTGCCCTGACTCAGAATTGAACCCGCCACACTGACCAGGGTGCCATTTTGTTCATTGTTGTGTAGTTCTGTTTTTCCTTCTTCTCTTGCTCTCTTCTTTTGTGATTTGATAATTTTTTGTAGTGGTATGTTTAGATTCCTTTGTCTTTATTTTTGTGTGTATCTGTATTAGGTTTTTGCTTTGTGGTTACCATGAGGCTTACATATAACAGCTTATATTTATAACCACCCTGCTATTAAAAATAGCTATCCTAGGAGGTGTGAAATGGTATCTCATTGTGGTTTTGATTTGCATTTTCCTAATAACTAATGTACTTGCCCATTTGTATATCTTCTTTAGAGAACTGTCTGTTCAATCTTTTGCTCATTTTTGAATTGGTTTTTTTTTTTTTTGTGTTGTTGTTGTTGAGTTGTAGGAGTTCCTAATTATATTCTGGATATTAATCTCTTATTAGATATATGAATTGCAAATATTTTCTCCCATTCTGTGACTTACCTTTTCATTCTTTTGATAGTGCCTTCGATGAGACCTGGGGCTTTTGCAGGTAGCCCAAGCATTTCTGGGAGTTTGTCCTTCCCAGCTATGGAAGAACAAACCAAGGCCTTGTGAGAAGTCAGATGTTCTACCTTTTGAAGATGGGACATGAGGGATCCCCATTCATCTATCTGCGTTTGGCCCACAAGACTGGGTCCTTTTCTCCCTGTTCTCTTTAAGTGTTCAAAGACTTGGATCATACAGGAAAAGAGAGAAGAGAGAGTAGGGAAAGCTGTACCCACCAATGACTGAAGGAAACAAACATGAGCTCAGTCTCAGTACTCAAGAAACCGTACATGCTACAGCATGTATGAAACTTGAAACCATGCTAAGTGAAGAAGCCAGTCACAAAAGACCACTTACTGTATAATTACATCTATATGAAATGTCCAGAGTAGCCAACTCTATAGAGACAGAAAATTAGTAATTTCCTCGGGCTGGTGGGGCAGGGAAGGTGGGTTAAGGGAGAATGGGGAATGACTGTTAATGAGTATGGGTTTGATTGATTTTTGGGTGATGGGAAGGCTCTAAAATTCATTGTGGTATGGTAGCACAACTCTGTGAATATACTAAAAGCCATGGATTGTACATTTTAAGGAGGTGAATTATATGATATGTGAATGATGGGGAGCAAAATAAGCCACCCTATAATATTCCATTTTGGCATATTGATTACTTTAAGTTAAAGATACTTAAGAAACAGCTAATACAAAAGGGATTCTCTGCCCTTCATAGAAGCAGGGAATAAATCTCCTATGTGAAGGTATCCTTACTATACCAGGAGGGTAGGAGTCATCCTTATCACCAGAGATAGGGAATTCAAGGTCAAGAAGGCTGTATAAACAAACTTTGTTACTTCTTCATTAATTTGCTACCCAAAACTCAAACTCCTTTGTTTTGTCAAATCTTTACAAATAACTCTCTTTGCTTTAAAGGTATAAAATCTGCCTGCATTGGTGACTTCTTTGAGTCTCATATTTCTATGGACTCCCATATGTACAAAGTCAAATTTGTTTTTCTCCTCTTAATATATGCCAATTTAATTTTAGACCAGTCAAAGAACCTAGAAGAGAAGAGGAGGAAAATTCTCTTCTGCATGAATTATATCTCAATAAAGCTGTTATTAAAAAATAGAAGGAAAGAAAAAAGGGCTGAGGCTGATGAGTGACTGCCATCCTTCCTTCTGCCTCAGTGTGCTGGTGTCTTCTTCACTTGATGGAGAAACGTAGCTGTGCCTGGACATGCTCACAGTGGGCGTGCTTCATGGTCAGCCCGTGGATGGGGGTTAGGTCCACTTTCAAGCCTAATGGCACACTGAACTCCAGCAGCTGCAGCAAAATTGCCAAGAAAAGGAAGATCTCCCACTTGGCCAAGACGTCCCCTATGCACCGGTGCTTGCCCATGCCAAAGAGTATCACCTTCTCACTCAAGGTCTTGTTTATGGCAGTGCCATCAGCAGTGAGGAATCGCTCTGGCTGGAACTCAAATGGGTCCCCCCACAGCTTCCTGCAAGAGGAACAGAGGAGCTGGGATCTTTGGGCTGGGAGGCCCTGGGAGGACAATCCAGGGGAGAGACTTCTAAACAGACTTCTGTTGATACCACCAGTGTTAGAATAGATAGCAATAAGAGGAGAAAGGGACGAAACTGTACTTTAATGCTTCTTTCTTTTATATAGCTCTTTCTAAAATGATCAGCCTTGAAAACAGTGCTTTTTAATATTGAATTATCTTCATTCTAATCAGTATAAAAGGGGAATCCATAGTATATCTTGGTGTGCTTATTGTTCTAGAGTAATTTTTAAAAAATTTATTGACTCTAGAGAGAGGGGGAAGGAAGGGAAAGAGGGAGAGAAGCATCAACTTTTGTTACTCCACCCATTCATGAACCCACTGGTCAACTCTTGTATGTGCCCCGACCAGGGATCGAACCCCCAACCTTGGCATATGGGACAATAATTCAACCAACTGAGCTACCTGGCTAAGGTGGAGTAGTTATTAATAGCATCCCACACTCAGAAGTACCCTTGTTTGGATGGTAAATTATGTAGTCCCCTTACCTATAGATGAAAGTGCAATTTTCCATACAGAGGTCCCTAAGCCATTTACATCAGAATCACCTCAGTACTCTACCTTAGCTCCCAAAGTGGAATCTTGGAGGAATGGGGTGCCATAATCTATAACCAATCTCCTGGTTAATTCTTTTTTTCTTCTTCTTCCTAGTTAATTCATTTTAAAAAAATCCTCACCTGAGGATATATTTTTCCATTGATTTTTAGAGAGAGTAGAAGGGAAGGAGAGAGGGTGAGGGAAAGAGAGAGGGAAAAAGGGAGAGACACAGACAGAGAGAGACAGAGAGAGAAACATTGATGTGTCTCACATCAATTAATTGCCTCCTGCGCTCGCCCCGACCAGGGCCAGCTATCAAACTTGCAACCCAGGTAGGTACCCATGACCAAGAATTGAACCCGAAACCCTTATGGTGTGTGGGCCAGCGCTCTAACCTGTGAACCACACCTGGCCAGGGCCCTGGTTAGTTCTTATTGCACTAAAGTTTGAGAAATATAAACCTAAATTTTGTCACTTAGAGAAAACTTAAGTAGCAATTGAGGCACCATTCTTTTATTATATAACCAGTTCCTAGAAGGACAAATAGCTTTCCTGGCAGCTGAACTGCATACATTTTTTACTGATCATGATTGATATGCCATTGGTTTATGAAGACATGGCGTTCCTTGGGGATGTAGAATCCATTCAGTGTTGTGTCCCTTGTGCTGAGGAAGGAAAAGGGCTGTCAGGCTCAGGGGCTGGAAAACGAGGGTACATCTCTGGGTGTTTCTTGCTCTTACCTCCACCACAACCCAATAGCCTGACCACCACAGGCTTCATATTCTATACTGGAAGGAAATATCAGGAGGAGAGAAGGGGAGAAATTATCCTTCCCCTTTCTTGGTTCCTGTTTTTCCACTCCAACAGGTGTTTACTACACTTCTGTTTGTGCCTAGCTGTGCATTTGACCATTCTCTGGAGCCCTGAGGAGTTCCCAGCCTGGCTGAGGAGTGAGGACAATTTCTCTAGGAATAACTAGATTAACATGTGGGCAGAGGAAGTGTTCACTATCTCTCTTAACATTGTTAAAATCCCAGGACATAATCAAGGACAAATGGCTGTAAGTCCTACCAAATAACAGAAATGAAGCTGTGCCAGCTAGATGAGTCAAGAAAGGCTTCTAGGGGAGGGGAAGTTTGTATCAAGATTGACCTTGGGCCCGGCCAGGTGTGGATCAGCGGTTGAGCGTCGACCTAGGATCCAGGCAGTTGGGGTTTGATTCCCGGTGAGGGCACATGCCTGGGTTGTGGGCTTGATACCTGGTTGGGGGTGTGCAGGAGGCGGCCAATCAATGACTCTCTCATCATTGATGTTTCTATCTCTCTCTCTCCTTTCCTCTTTCTGAAATCAATAAAGATATAGTAAAAAAAAAAAAAGATTGACTTTGGGCAGGGACAAGATTCTGGTAGACAGAGAAGAGATTAGAAGGCATTTCAAGCAGAAGGCCCAGCATAAGCAAAATTGGAGGCTGGCTGGATCATGCTTGTAAGGGACAGTGAGGCCAGGCTGATTGCATTGAGAGTACTTGTAGGGAGAGAAAGTGAGCAGAGGTGAATGAGAGCTGAGGTCAGAAGTGTGATTATCTAATGAGAGCTGGATAGTTTTATTGTGTTTGGACTGACTAGGGGCAGAGAATCTGTGAGTTCGGTGTCATGGTCAGGAAAAAGATGCTGAGGTCTGAGCCAGGGCTGGAGCTGAGAAACTGGGAGAAGAAAATAGGACAAGGAAGAAAGGTGAGAGGGCAGAATAGGTAGGCCTCACCTGTGGGGGGCTGATGAAGGGGACAAAGGAGGAGTGTTGGAAGGTCTCCAGGATGAAGGCCTCCATATAAGGCAGCTGGGATCTGTTGGGAAGTTGGGGCTGCTGTGCCCTGCCAATCGCTGTGTCTTCAAGCCACAGAGGACAGACAGGGCTTAGAGGGACTGTCCTGACTGCTCCATGGTATCTGTGTCCCCTATTATACCAAATGTCACTCTATGTGGTGTCACTCTATGTCTACTTACATGGCTGAAACCCACTAACCCTCCCCCAGTATCTTCTAGACAAGGGTAGACATCATTGTATGCCCAGGGCTTGTATATAGTAGGCACATAACAGCTATAAATATATTGAACAAGTTATCTGGGACCCCAAGGCTTCTCCCTGCATACCTAGTTCCCCTTGGATCTTTATCTCAGGAATTGTCATAAGGTACATAAGGCTTCAGAAGATGGCTGTTGTGAGTGAGTCAAATCCTGGGAAGCATGGAGCAAGGTAAGGAAGTAAGTAAGACAGAAACAAGAAACCAATATTTACCAAGCACCTACATATGTGTACCAAGCATTATCTTTCTCTCTCTCTCCCTCCCCTGACCCCCCAGCCCCAACCTTGAGTCACTGGTTTCATAATTAGCTGCTGGAATTATAGGGGCCTAAACTTACTGGTCAGAGAGCCCTTTATTGTTCAAATGGGGAAACTGAGGTCTACAGGAGGAGAAGGATTTAGCTGAGTTTTCCCTGGGAGTTGGCACAACCTGGGCTCAAACCCTGAAACCGGGCCAGGTCTTTGTGTCCTGCACCATCTGGCATGAGGTTCAAGGATTATTTGATGTACTTGGGGGCTGGGAATTGCTGTGGGTGAACAGCAGACACTGATGGATGGAGGGGCAAAGGTGTGGCTCCTACCAGCCCCAAAAATATCATTGATAAGGTTGACAATCTTCTCAGGGATGAAGCCACCAGTGGGTCTGGAGTCCATCTTGCAGTGCTTGAACAGGGCACCTGTGATATCCTGGACACTGTTCTGAGGGATCACAAGTTTAGAGGCACTCCAGCACTTCCAGGGGCAAAGGCTGGAACTTGCCCCATCCCACCTGGCACCTCCCCAACCTCCAGTCATTGGGTTAGGCTCACAGCAGGAGGGCTTAAGGTATCATTTCATGTCCTATTGACCCTTCCTACCAATAACCCCAGGGATCCAATTTCAAAGGAGGAGGTTAGTGTGAGAAGGGAAGCAAAGTGACACCTGAGCTGAGAATTAGTCTTTGTCAGGGTTCAGGTTCTTGCAGAACAAAAGCCTTCTCACTCATAACATCCCCCACAACAGGGCTCTCCAGGCTTTGAGCAGGTCTGAGATGGCTATAGGGATAAGGAACCTGAGACCAAAGGGGGAGAAGGATTAGCTTCAGGTCCCACAGCTGGTCCCAGAGCCTTCCTAGGCCTTGGCAGCATATTAGCTGTGTGGGTACTTTGGAGCTGGGTGAGAGGGGACACACCCAGGCTCTGCAGGGTGCCCCTTCACTACCTGTATACTGGGCTCACCTTGTCAAAGTTCTGATAGTGCTCCTGGATCATCATCTGCAGGAACTGCACAAGCCTCTTGTTGAAGCCCTTGAACCTCTGCAGGGTAGGGTTGGGCAGGTATTTAAGGATGGGGAAGAAGTCCACAGGGTTCCCAGAGGAGGCTGACGCCACGAACTCATGGCTGTTCTTCACAAGGCTGAGCATCTCCTCACTGCCCTGGGGAAAGTGCTGCCCAAAGCACATGGCACCAATGACTTTGGCCACTAACACCACCACCTGATTACAGGGATCAAAGCTTCTGGAACTTGCTGATGAGGGCCTCAGCCTCCTTGCTCACATGCTCCTCCAAGTAACAGGAAGATGAGGAAGCTGGGTCTGAGGTGATGGAAAAAACCTCCTCAGGGCATTCTGGGTTAGGCACCGGCTGAAGCCCACACAGGTCTAGAGTCTGGGTTGAAGGTCATGCTCCGGCCATCAGAGATCAGGGTGAAGCTGTAGAGGTCGGGCCTGCCCTTGAAATCATCACCCTGCTGCACCAGGGCTTGCCAGATAGTGGGCAGGCCGCTGAGCACCAGCACAAGTATGCAGCCAATTCGGATCTCTAGCATGACCCCATAGCGCTGGCTCAGCTGTGACAGGGCCAGGTGTGGGCTCTTCCCCAGAGTCAGCATGTGTCCAAGCAAGGGCCAACCCCAGGGCCCTGGTGGACTCTTCAGGCCTTTGGGAACCCGAGGCTGCCAGGCCCTTAACACCCAGAATACCAGGCAGAAGATGGTGAAGGCCAGGGGAAGCTCCATGGCCAAGAGGGAATTGGGCCAGGACAATGCCATCTCTACCAACTGCAGGGAAGAAGAAAGAAGAACCAGACAGGATCAAGATGGAGCTCTTCCTACCTTCCTTTATTCACTCACTTAGTCAACAAATATTGGCACATGTCCTGTGCTTGGCTCTCAGCTGGACACCAGAAAGACTAAATTATGTGCACCGTGGCTTCTGCATGCCTGGAGCTCACCCTTAATGCATCACAGAACCTAAGGGCTGGAAAGAAGCCTTGCAATTCCCAACTTAAGTGTCTGAACTCCCAGCCATGGCCTTCCCCTCTTCCCATCACCTCAGTTTCCAATTCTGAGGCTGGAGTAGAGGCAAGTGAAGACTTCAAAGTGGGGAAGCACCCCCTGTGAGCCCCCAGCACAGGGTGTATGCTGAGCATTGTGTCAAAGGGGCCCCACTTTGACAGCTGGCTTCCTTCTAATATCGCCTCATACCCAGGGAATAAAGAGCTGTTCCCATCCAGCAACACTGAGAAGAGAAGGTTCCAGGATTGATGCAAATGGCTTGTAATTCCCCTCTCCCAGAATAGTCTTTATCAAAATCAAGAAGGTCACCTCCTTCAAAGATGCCCCCGCCCCAGTCTTGGAGGCTGGGGTTGGTCTGCAGCCACAGTCAGGGCTGCCCTTGTGCCAGGGGGGAACACTCCCCATCTCTTCACTCCAATCACACTCATGGTCCTTAGAGATGGCCTGGTCCAAGCTGCTTATTTAAAAATGGAGAATCTGAGGTCTGGAGCTAGGCAGTAAGGACTAGAACTCAGGCCTTCTATGTCTAACTGAGGTTTCCCTCATCCCTCCATTTCCACTGTTCCCAAGATATATGGTTGTGTGTGTTGAGGGGAGTTGGGGGTGGGGAGTCCCAGAGACTGGGAAATGGGCCCAAGAAAGGTACCTGTAGAGGCAGGTGCTTGAGATCAGCAGGGCTGTGGGAGCTGGAACAGAGCTTCCGGCTCCAGGTGAGGGTGCCTTTTATAAACAGCTGTGTTGACCCAGTTGTCCTGGTCACATGATAGCAAAGTCACTGAGTAAAGTTGGAAGGATTAGCCCTTGGTCTTGGGTCATGATCCCTTGGCTCCACCTACTACTCAGGCCCAGGAGCAGCTCCTCAGGGATAGGTAGTATCCCTGGGGAGGAACGTCCAGCTCCTTTCAGGGTCCAAGGTCGGGGGAGATTATTTCTCTCAAGGGCAAGGCAGGGTGCTGGGAGTGAGAGGCCTCTGAGCTAGTCCAGCCTTCCCTCCACTGTGCCCATGGTTAAGGACTCTGCCTGGGTACGGAGTCCAGGCCAGGCAGGAGGCTCACTGCTCCTTTTCAGAAGGGTGTTCTGTATTACCCTTCCAACAACCTGCAAAAACAAACAAGGATAAGAGTGTTCCAGCCACCCCTAAGTTTTAGCCCAAGTCCTTAATCTGAAACCAAGAGATGATGAGGATCCTGCATTCTAAAGAGAGTCTCCTCACCCTCCTCCCTCCTGATAAGAGATGGTAAAAGTGAATGAAGAAAATCCATGCTGTGGGCTGTTCCACATGGCAACTGGCTCACGCTCTTCAAAATGGTCAATGTTATTATTATTATTTTTTAAAAGGCAAAGACCTTTTCTAAGCAAAGAGACTAAAGAGATATAACCAAATGCAGTATGTGAGCCTCAATTGGACCTGGAATTAAAAAGATATTTTTTAAGCTACAAAAGACAGTTTTGGGACAATTTAACCCATATGAACAAGGACTGGAAATGACAAATTATGGAATTAATGTTCTTCAGTGTGAACATAGTGGTAATGTGGGAGAATATTTTAGGAGATCTTCTTAGGAGATTAATGCTGTGGTGTTTGAAGATAAAGTGCCATGATTTCTGAAACTTGGTTTTTAAGGGTTCTATTTTAAAATGTACATCTAGCTGTATGTCTATATAGAGAAGAGAGAGAGAGTAGACATGACAAAGGCCAGCTCTCTGTGAACCTCTGTGAAGGTGTGTGGACGTTCATTGTATGAAAGGGAGCTGCTGTTTGGTAAGGAGTCCCACAGCAGTTCTCTCCTCCCCCTGGGGAAGGAAGGAGGAAACTCCCCATCTCACAAAGCCAAGTGAAGGGAGTCCCAGGAGACTCAGACTTTAAGAGTGGGATGCCTGCCGGAAGGGGTCTCCCCAGCCTCGAGTCCAGGTGGTAGGGTGCTGGTGAGGGAGACTGTGGCATGTGCGTATTGAGCCCACACTTTATAACACTGGATGCTTATAGGCCCCGTGCTATTCTAAGAGCTTTACATGTATTAATGAAAAATAGTCTCAATAATCCTATGGGGTAGAAATTAATACTGTTATCGTATTAAACAAGGTAATGGCTGCACAAAGAAGCTGTGTTAGCAGAACGTTAGAGTTGGGACTGCAACCTTTAGAAGATTGTGCTCTGGACGCTACACTCTGCTCCTGCTTGACACATATCCCTGGATCTAGGGAAAATATGTGGACACAGAGACTGAACAGCCCAGCATGTGAAGGTGAAGGTAGCAGAGGGCAGCCCGCATGGCTGGAGCTGGGTAGCTTACCAGGATGTGAATCTCCTTAGGGCTGGGTGGGATGCTGAAGGGAGCTGGACTTCAGCTGCATGAACGGGACTTCATTGCAGAGGGAAGGGGACGCCAGCAGTGACAAGCTGTAGGGCAGTTTCTGTGGGAATGAACTGGGGGCAGGCAAGAGGTCAGCTAGAGTCCAGCAGCTACTTTAGGGACTGTGCAGTGTGGAGGACACTGTTGGCACTCTATGAAAAGCCAGCGCTGAAACATCCACTACACGTGAGGGCAACTTTAGCCCAGAGAAGATAAATAGCATCAGCCAAGTAAAAAGAGGTTGGCTCCTTTTCCAGCACCCTCCCTTTCCCTTCCTTGGTGGAGAGGCCAGCAGGGCAGGGGTAAAAGTAGTGCAGAAAGAGAACATGCCTCTTCCCTTCCCACAGTATCAGATCTGAGAGGAGGCTGAGGACAAACCGTAACTTAGGTAAAAGGAAATTTTGATTTAGACTGGACTGAGTTTTTATTTCCTGGAAATTAGAAAGCTGTGGGCTCAACCCATGCCAGTGTCAAGGGGCAAGGTGGGGAACCTGACAGTGTGCAGAGCGTGTCTGAAGACCATAGATGAGGCAGAGGAAAGCTGCTTTCTGTCTGTGCCTCCACTGGGTTTAGCTCATTCAATAACAAAAGTCAAGGTTTGAAGTTAGGCTAAGTTTTATAGAAAACTGCTTTAACATTGCTCTTAGTAATATTTTTAAAATACGTCTCCTTAGGCAAGGGGAAAAAAGAAAAATAAGCAAATAAATCAAACTAGAGCAAAGGAGACTTTAGACGATGAAAAGACAACCTACTAAATGGGAGAAGATATTCACCAATGATACATCTAAGGGGTTAATATCCAAAATACATAAGGAACTTGTACAACTTAACAGCAAAACAACCAAATAATCTGATTTAAAAAGAGGCAGAGGACCTGAATGGACAATTCTCCAATGAGGACATACAGATGGTATATGAAAAGATGCTCAGTGTCACTAATCATCAGGGAAATGCAAAACAAAACCAAAATGAAATATAGCTTCATACCTGTGTGTATGCATATTCCTAAAAAAGTTAAAAATATAACTACCATATGACCCAGCAATTCCACTTCTGGGTATTTATCTGAAGAAATCCAAAACACTAATTCAAAACGGCATATGCACCCCTATGTTCATTGCAACATTATTTACAATAGCCAAGATATAAAAGCAACCAAGTTGCTAAGTGTCCATGGATAGAGATTGGGTAAAGAAGATGTGGCATAGCCCTGGCTGGTGAGGCTCAGTGGTTAGAGTGTCTGCCCGAGCACCAAAGGGTTGCAGATTCAACTCCCAATCAAGGGCACGCACCTGTGTTGCAGGTTCGCTCTTTGGTCCTGGTCAGGGTATGTGCAGGAGGCAACCAGTCAATCTGTCTCTCACATCAATGTTTCTCTCTCTCTCTCTCTCTCCCCCCCTTCCTTTCCTCCCTCCCTTCCACTCTCTCTAAAGATATGCATGGGAAAAAATATCCTTAGATGAGGATTAAGAGAGAGAGAGAGAGAGAAGAGGTGCTATATATGCACAATGGAGTATTAGTCAGCCATACAAAAGAATGAAATCTTGCCATTTTCAACATGGATGAACCTAAATGGTATTATGCTAAGTGAAATAAGTCAGACTGAGAAAGATAAATACCATATATTTCACTTATATGTGGAATTTAAGAAAAACCAAAATAAATGAACATACAAAATGGAAACAAACTCAGAGATAGAGAATAAATTGATGGTTGTCAGATGGGAGGGGGAAGGGTGAAAAATAAGAAGGGGTTAAGATACACAAATTGCCAATTGTACACCTGAAACCTATATAATTTTATTAACCCATGTCACCCCAATAAATTCAATAAAAATTTTAAAAATAAAGATATACAAATTGCCAGTTATAAAAACAGTCATGGAGATGTAACATACAGCATAGGGAATATAGTCAATAATATTGTAATAACTGTTATGGTTCAGGTGGGTTCTAGACTTATTGGGGTGATTACCTCATAAGTTACATAATGTCTAATCATTGTATTATACACCTGAAACTAATATAATATTGTATGTTAATGGTAATTGAAAAATAAAAACTTTAAAAGTTGACTTTCTCTTCCTTTCTTCTTTCTTTTCTTCCTTTCTTCCTCTCCTCCTTTCTTTCTTTCTTTTTTTAAATATATTTTTATTGATTTCAGAGAGAGGAAGGGAGAGAGAGAGAGATAGAAACATCAATGATGAGAGAGTCACTGATCGGCTGCCTCCTGCACAGCCCCAACGGGGGATCGAGCCTACAACCCAGGCATGTGCCCTGACCAGGAATTGAACTGCGATCCCGTGGATCCTAGGTCAATGCTCAACCGCTGAGCCATGCCTGGCTGGTCCTCTCCTCCTTTCTTCCTTTCCCTCTCCTCCACTTCAGACTCTCTCTCTCTTATTTTAATGAACTAAAGTCATACTTTATTCAGATTTCCTTAGATTTTATCCAATGTCCTTTTATGTTTGAGGATCCCATCAAGAGGATACCACATTACATTAAGTTATCATGCCCCTTTAGGCCCCCTAGGTTTCGATGCTTCTCAGACTACCTTTGCTTTTGATGACCTTAACAGTTTTCAGGAGTACTGGTCAGGTATTTTTAGGATGTCCCACTGTTGGAATTTGTCCAATGTTTTCTCATGGTAAGAAACATGGGTTAATGGTAGGAAGACCACAGAAGCAAAGTGTCATTTTCATCACATCATATTCAGAGCACACACTATCAACTTGACTTAGGGTGATTGATGTTGGCCTTGATCAGATGACTGAAGTCGTATTTATCAGCCTTCTCCACGGTAAGATGACTCCTTTTCCCCCTTTCCATACTGTGATCTTTGGAAAGAAGTCACCTTGTGCAGCCCACACCTAAGGAGTGGGGAGTTAGTTCTGCTCCCCTCTCTTGAGCACAGAGCAGTTACATAAATTATTTGGACTTCTATGTGAGAGACTACTTGACTTATTATTTTAAATATTTTCTTAAAACTTTTTATTAAACTGATGAACAAAATAGATCCAGAGACATAGAAGCATGGAACAGACAGACAGGTGGGGGTGGGGGAGTGAGTGGGGAGAGATTAATCAGAGAACTTATATGCATAACCCAGGGACACAGACAATAATATGGCGAAGGTCTAGGGGTGGGGTGGATGTAGGGTGGAAGGGATCAATGGTGGGGGGGGAAGGAAGGACATCTGTAATACTTTCAACAACAAAGATAAAATTTTAAAACCTGTTTATTAAATTGTAAGATACATACAGAAAAATGCAGATATGTGCACAGCTCGATGAATTTGGACAGTCTTAACAAAGCCATGTTACCAGCCTCAGATCAAG